TCTCACCTCTCTCCACATCCAAAACCCTAACCTAAACCCCACCATTGACTCCCATTACACCACCCTCGAAAACCCTATGATCATGAGTGAACCTTGGTACCCACCGCCTTCTCGATTCTCCACTCCACTCCACAATGTAACCTAGCTTTCTCCCCCTCCCAACTTCTCTGTGCGCACACCTCCTCATGGCTCGTCTAACCACCCAATCGGACTGAAGGATTGATTCTCATCCATTGTCGCGGCTCCAGTTTAAATTTTTGCTGTCCTCTCTTTGTTGCATCTCTGGCGTCTCCCAAGTTCTCGCCCCTGCACTAATGGTGCTGCAAGTTTAGTACCTCCTGTTGCCCTACGTTTCTGGAAAATCCTCAAGGTAGAGCTCACACCCATGGACGAAGACAGTGGCGCCTCTGTAATAAACTGGGTAAGCTGTTGCATAAACAAGACATTACTATTTGGGATGATGATATTTCATAGGAAAAAATTATGGAGTGTCAGTTTACCCCTTGTGGGACATCTTTTCCAAAACCCCAACATCAATTTTCAAGCTTTTCAGATAGCCATGATAAAGGCGTGGAGAAATGAAAATGTAGTTGTGAAACCTTTATAGAATGGCATTTACTCTTTTACCTTCAGCAAAGAAGAGGAAAAAAATAGAGTGCTTAAAGGGGGGCCATGGTCTTTCTCGAATAACTTATTGATGTTAAAGACTTGGGCACCTGATAAACCACCGCATTGGTATGAGTTCAACAAATGTGCTTTCTGGGTTAGAATTTTCGGCCTTCCTCTTAAATGGAAGTCCGAAGATGTGGTGACAAAAATTGCAAGTACGGCAGGGACAGTGTTGGAAGTGAAATTTGAGGACAAAGGACCGGTAGTCCAATGTGTTGGGAAAGCAAAGGTAGAGCTGGATATGTATGCTAAGCTGTAAGTGGGACAGTCGGCCACACATAGGGGTGGGAAGATTTGGCTAGATTTTAAATATGAATGGCTCCCATTCTTTGCTACTTGTGCGGAAAGGTGGGGCATTATGCGAGTTACTGTAAGGAGGTACCCTATGATGAAGAAAAGTTCACATCGAAGATGAGAAGTTGTTATGGGAATTGGATGCGAGCAGAAGTTCAAAATCACAGCCCCCTTTGGGATGTATTCTATGAGAAAAAAATCGAAGAATATAATGAAGAAGTGGAGGAGATCATCCCTGAAACACAAGAACAACAAAGACGGATAGTTGTGAGGCTAGACCAAGCACCCCTGTTTGCCCGGGAACTTCACAGAAAAGGGGGTCTGAGTTTCTGCAAATTAAATTTCCAAGCAGGAATTCAATTGAAAAGCGAGAAACCAGCTGCTGGGAAGGATATTGTGATGCTCCCAGCATCCTCCAAGGGACAAAAATCCTCAGATAACAAGAAAAAGGGAAGCAAGGAACCAAAAACCCCTTCACTCAAAAAGCAAAAAAGGTACAGTCCCTATACTTCTGACTCCTTAACTCCAGGGTGGCTAGATGAGACCCAACTTCTGAATACTCCAATCTAGATGACTAAAGATACTGTTGGATGGGCTTTGGTGGCTAGCCCTAATAAGCCACCAAAGGAATTATGAATTTTCTGTGCTAGAACTGTCAAGGGTTGGGCACACCCTTGACAGTCCAAGAATTAAGAGCCTTTGTGGCTCGACTCAAGCCCGTTGTGGTTTTTTTTATGGAAGCTAAAAATCAAGAGTTGGTTCTTCAGAGAATAGGGAGGATACTACAATTTCAAAATTGTAAAGTGGTTAACCCAGTGGGAACTGCTGGTGGTTTGGCTATCTTGTGGGATGATAGGGTTGAACTTACTATCGATTCACAAATAGAGAGTTATATGAATCTCAGGTGCAAAGACTTATCGAGTGGCAAGAGGATGAGAGTCACTTTATATGCTCATTAAAATTTTCAAAAAAGATGTGAACTGTGGGAGGAGCTCTGTGTTATGAGCTTATCAAATTCATTGCCCTGGGTTTGTCTAGGAGATTTTAATGAAGTGTTGTTCTATTGGGAAATAGTGGGGAAGTGTTTGGCTGAAATTTCTCGTATGACAGAATTCTAGGGTTTTCTGAATGCTTGCTTGTTAATGGACATGGAAAGCAAAGGATGCACCTTCACTTGGTCAAATAACAGAGATGGAGAGGAAAACATCAAAGAACGTCTTGACAGGGTTTTATGCAACATAGAATGGAGGATCTTATTCCCTAAAGTAGAAGCTTTTGCCCTCTCGGTGATAGGATCTGACCATAGCCCTATAATTCTATCTCTTCAAGGCAATCACGAGAAACGTAAAAAGGAGTTCTAATTTGAAGCTTTTTGGCATGAAAATAACCAATGTAAGGAAATTATAAAGGAAGTTTGGGATTCCCCCCTCCAGGCTGAAAAGAACTTAACAGGGAAACTACGGGCTGTGACTTTTGCATTGACAAAGTGGAGTAAGAAGACATTCGGGAATGGACAGAAAAGAATATGTTCACTGAAACAAGAGCTCCAGTAATACATGAACATAAGTGATAGTCCTTTCGATAGAGAGAAGGTCAAGAAACTGCAGGGAGAAATTGAGACTGTAGAGACAGGAAGAGATGTATTGAGGGCTGCGATCAAGGATAAACTGGCTGAAATGGGGTGATAAAAATACAAAAATTTTCCATGCGACAACAATTCAGCGAAGACAAATAAACATAATCTCGATGATTAAAACTTCATACAACACCTGGATTTCAGAACCAGGGCTGATTAAACAAGCCACAATGATATTTTTCGGAGAGTTGTACCAATCTGAGGGCCAACGAAACTTCTCCCCAGGTCTAGAATAATGCCCCAGGGCTGTTACTGAGGATATGAACCACTCATTGCTAGCTGATTTGAGTATGGAGGAAGTTAAAAATGCTACTTTTCAGCTGGGGGCGGCGAAAGCACCAGGGCCAAATGGTTTGAATGGCCTCTTTTATCAACAGAATTGGGAAGTATTAAATACAGATATTTTTATGGAGGTAAAATAATTTTTCAGAAATGGAACCATGCTGCTAGACCTCAACAGAACCTTGATTTCCCTGATTCCGAAGGTTCCCAACCCTAAGAAACTTGATCAATATCGACCCATTAGTTTGTGCAACTTTGGATACAAAATCATCGCTAAAGTGTTGACAAACAGACTCAAACCGCTGTTGCTAGAAATCATAGCTGGAGAACAAAGTACATTTGTGGGAGAAAGACAAATTCAGGATAACATATTTGTGGTGCAGGAGGTGTTACACCAAATCAGAATTCGGAAGAGGAGGAAAAAATTTCAAGCCAGATTGACTTGGTTAGTAGAGGTAAGTTTGTCTACAACTCTACTGACCCAGAATCCAATGGGTGATTTTAAAAGGAAGGTGAGAAAATGAGAGAGCTGCATCAGCGGGCCCTTGCGGAAAATTGAATGATTGAGGGTTGGTCTGGGCCAGACCGATTTGGGTAGGCTCGACCAAGGCGTAGTTGTAAAAGTTCCCACTTTTTTGGTTGTTCTTTTCTCAATCCTCATAAACACACACACATATAGTCAAAACATAAAGAATTCATTGTAGGAAGGGCATAGAAGAAGGGATACTTTTCAGATATTTCAAACTATTATTGATTGTTGAACATGGTCCACCTGACTCTGCCACCCACATCGTTCATTCATTAAGCATGCTGAATTGGTAACCCGATTTTAGCATTCCTAACCTTGTTCCGAACAACGCAAAAGGCTTGCGCGCATCGGAAAAAGCAATTACGTGATGATTAGGAAAGCAATGCTGGTGGGTAAGTCCTTCGATATGCGTTGTATGATCCTGATTGTAAGGTACGAGGCTTCGGTGTTGGTCGATATGGTCCTGGGCACTCCCACCTTAATAGCTAACTTTTGGGATGTGGATCTCTGCCATAAATCGGGTGTATGTCCCGTAGCTTAACTTGACATCTTTCCCACATGAGAATTTAAATAATTCAAAAGGCAAAAGCACATGATGAAGACTAAAGACAAATCTTATAACCGAAAAAGCGCCAAATGCCAGTCATTGAATGAGAAAGTTGTATAATAACGCCGAGTTTGGGATAAACTGAGTTGACTGGGATGCCTAATTTCTTTTCCTCCTTTATCAGATTCTTGGGCACGTTGTTCCATAGGTTTGACAGTTAAGTGAAGGTCACATGTCGTAGGTACAAATGGGGGGCGTTCAAGTTCATTTGCAGAGACAACATGGTGAAACAAGCAAAGGATGAGGTAGGAATAAGAGGCATGCGCTTGCGTAAAAGTAGGTGGTAGAAGCGTGGAGGGAGGGAGGGCTCTTAACGATGGCATGAACTGATGGTTAGACCAGAGAGGAGCAGAACAGGGCTGCTGCCCGCGGTAGACTCACCTACCGGCAACAGGCAAGCCTTTTACTAATCGACACAGTCTATCGCAAAGAGACGCGACGATGAAAGGAGCGTATCGAAGAGCCAGGGACCCGACCCTCTTCATAGACGATACAGAAAAAAGAACGGCGGCATTTTCTTTTCGGTCGGTCACGTTTTTAACCCTGGGTGTTCTGGGTGCAAGTTCGCGCAATATTGGTGCAGTGCGAATTCATCAAATTACTTCTGGTGGAGATTGAACGATGCTGTTCATCTTTAGATCACATAATCCGCGCAAGACATTCGGATTTTATTTAATATTCTTCCAAAGTTAAAAGAAAAGGGGCGGTCGTTTCGTTAAGCAGTTAATGGCCTAATTAAGAACGGAAAGTTGGTTTTCTTGATTACAAAACTTAATTCGGACGCGAATGAGGTAATACTAAAAGTAGGTCTTTGTCTAATTTTAGTTGCAAGAAAATTTTGGTGGGAGACATGTGGGCCTAGCCGACCATGGACCCTGTCTCGACGGGCTTTTACGTGGGCCATTGCAGTAGAATATGGATCGCGTGATCCGGCCCATCATCAATAGAAGCCCATCACCGCCCACCGGGCCGATTCTCCACGGGCTTGACATATAAATTCGAATCCAAACCTGCTCCACGCGCGTTCCCTCCACCTCCATTAAACCCTGCACCGTCCTCCGTCGGCGGCGAAGCGAAGCGCAGCGCCGAATCGTAACCTGTAAGGCCGCCCTCTCTCTCTCTCTCTCTCTCTTTGAGCTTTGTCGCCGTCTTTCTCAATTAGCCTCGAAGATTACTGGGTTTCGTCCTGATTTCGTGGGCGTAGAACGCTCTTTCGGTTCTGGGTGGTGTTAGGGTTCATTTATCCTGTTTCTGTTTAGATCATTAGATTTCAGTATCGTATCATGGTGCTGTCTCAGCGAAGTGCTGTGTATCTGCTGCTGTAGTTTGTGAGATGTGAGGAATTGGTGGGTATTGTTTGTGATGGTTTGTTGGGCTCTCTGGGTACTCGTCATGGCGACTGCTCACGTTTCTTTCCCTTGTTCAGAAATTTATGTTGCGAATTGACGTGGAAACACAATGAGGTTGGAAAAGTGCTGGTTCTGTTCCTCCACCGTGTACCCTGGCCACGGTATTCAGTTTGTGCGAAACGATGCTAAGGTATGTCTTGGCAGCTTGTACTTCGAAGTCTTCCTTTGGTGTGTCATGGAGAACTTCTCCACCTTTTGCTGGGTTACTGCAAATTCTGTAAATTTCTAGATGCATGCTGTTATCATCTGCCTTTGTTTTATTGCAAATGGCATTGTGTTTTTTCTTCTTTGGATGCATTCAATGGAACCGGTGTCGGTTTGTTGTTATTGGGCTTCTAGAGGGGTAGAACGCTGGGAATTTGGATGTAAGCCCTGATTGTCTATATCCGTGCAGATATTCCGGTTTTGTCGATCCAAATGCCATAAGAACTTTAAGATGAAGAGAAATCCTCGGAAGGTAAAATGGACCAAGGCCTATAGGCGATTACATGGAAAGGATATGACCCAGGTAAACAAAGTGATCTGATCTTTCTTTGTTATCTCATTTATCGATTACTTATTTTCATGGCCGTACATATGTCTTGTTACTTTGTTCGATGATAAAGTATGTAGAGTATTCTGATTAACTGAGTTTGACTCCCTCTGTGCCTTGTTCCTCTTTAAGGATTCAACTTTTGAATTTGAGAGGAAGCGAAATCGGCCAGAGAGGTATGATAGGAATCTGGCGGAGAACACACTAAAGGCCATTAAGAAGATAGACAAGGTTAGGGTCGATAGGGAGGTCAGGCACCACACGCTCAGGTATTAGCTCTTTCCTTTTAAACTTTTTCTAGATGCAGAGAAGTTCTTGCTTCTTTTTTCGGTTCCGCCATGTGACAACAAAGTAATTTGTGTCCCGGTTAAATGGCAGAATGAAGGGCAAGACAGCAAAGGAGCAGAGGGAGGCAGCGAAGGAGTTGGAGCAAGGAATCCACCTGGTCAAAGCTCCATCAGTACTTCAAGAGGAGCCATCTCTCACTTTGCCCAAGGTCAAGGTCAAGGTTTCTCATCAAGAATCTCAGGAAAACCGAGCTATGGAAGAATGATTTTGTTGTCGAAACCAGTCCCATATACATTTGTTACATCATTAGAATTGAGGTCATGTCAATTTTCCTGTGTCCCGTTACTTGTAAGGGTGTCGTAAACTTATCTGGTTTAGAGTTTTTAAACTCCAACCTCTCTCTTTCTCTCTCTCTCTGTGATGTTTAATGGTGGTGACTTAAGACCAGTGCGGGTTGCTGGTTATTTTTCTTTTTCAGTCAGATGTTAACAAGACCTCCAGTCGAGAGGTATGTAGCATTTTTGGATTGGATGTTCATAAGTTGAAAGTTTTGGAGCCTTCATGAATGCTAAAAGTCTATCCTTGTTTTCAATTGTTCAGTTGCATTTGTTCTCTCTTCTGCTGTCTAGGGAAATATATAAGGCGGTACATATATTACCATCAGGAGGGTAAAATTACTTATTTGTTCCTCTTGTGGCGAGTTGAAGTTTATTCAAGTAAAATTTATAATGCTGTAGATCTTTTGGCTGTATCTGCGACTTTGCTGGAATTAATTGTCGAATTAAAGCCGACGATGCTTTATATACCTTTTTCTCCTTATCTCGGAGACGAAGGAGGTATGCAGGAAGGACTCAGTTTCGGAACTCCAGTTCGTGGAGTGTCCTGTATTATAACGAGACAAGCTAAACCTCTTCACAATTGGTGATGGATGAACTGACTGGTTAACGAAACTGATTCATGGTCATTGGGAAGGAAGGAAGATGCTCACAAGGATATATCTATGGGGGTTGATTATCAGAGCCCCAAGGGCGGACGTTGGTTGCCGGAGGATTCTCTACGGTTGAACAGTATCACTCGGGTTTTAATTTGTCTGGCAGTTCACTTGACACTTTCTGTCGACTCATGGGGTGCTCTGGTCATAACTTAGAAAACCTGAAGTCGCAAAGGTTGAGATATTTGCGGAGCTGCTTTAGTGGTGTTCAGCAGTCTGGAATTCTTTGAGATAGTTTATCTTCGCTGATCTCACCATGGCGCGTTAAGGCAATTCTTTAATCCAAGAATTATGGCGAACGGAGGCCTTCTGTGAGTGTATGGTGCAAGAGACTGCTCAATTGTTGAAGTTGTGTATTAAATATCGATCCCTCTGGGAATTGGGATTCCCATATACCTGTTTAGATCATCATCCATTCATGAGATCTGCAACTGCAAGAAGCTTTTAGGCCAATAAAAAAAAAAAACTGCAAGAACCCAAAATCTGTAAAATCGTATATGAAGGATGAAACTCGAATTAGCTCTACATGATTCCATCGCAGTAGCAAACTATTGAGGTGGGAAAGAACGCAAGACTCTTCAGACGGTGGGACAACGTGTTTTCCCTTTCAAATTTCCTAATTGAATGGCGTACTCGTTTTGCTGGTGGACCAGATTGGCAATACAAAATTGATCTTGACAGCAAGTAAACTTGTCATGGAGGGAAATCGTACTGCCTTAGCTTTTTGCTTGTGTCTCATCTCATGGAGTGTTGTCTTTCGCTGAAAGCTGGATTCCTTGTTCGAACAGGGGTTTCTTGTTCTGCTTATGTAAAGGGATCGCTCCGCCGAAACCCTTGTTATGTGGATTGAGGTTAACAAATTTACAGCCTGACAGAGCAGAATTGCCTCCAGTTTTTTCCACTCTCGAGTTTTCTAATGAATTTTAGTTGGTGAGCTTCATGTGCAAAATGAAAGTGGAATTCTTAATTTGGTTGAATAATTTCGTCGTCACGCGCATGACAGTGCCTGTTACAATGTTCATTTTGCCCTCCTCTTTTAAAGGGTTCTCTGTGTCTTTCATTTTAGGACTTAATTTCAGCAATCTTGCTGAAAACCAGAATTGCCCAGAATAGATCATCTGCTACTAATCTTTGGAGTATGAGACAAACATTCTTGATGTGCAAATTCTTCCTTGTCCATGGTAATGTTATTTCTTGTAAGCATGAGTAATGCTGTGTGTGCGCGCAAAGTTTTTATATGCTTAGCACGACAGCATTATTTTGTCGATGATTAGAAGTTTCAAGGAAGTCGTCTAAAGATGGGCAAGGCAACACCTCTAATGATGTAACGAACTGATGCAAGTAAGATCTGGAGAATTTATTGCGTCGCTTTCACAAATCAATTTCTGTCTTCTGTTAACAGGGAAATAAAAGGGACAGTTAACAATTTGCAAGAAGCAGCCAGGCAAGAAACTTTCATGGCTTTTGGGGATTCATATAATATCTTTGACTTGCAAGGTTCGATAATGATCGTGCAAAGACCCAGGATTAGTTTAATCCTCTCTGTTAAACGAGAGGTTAGCGTGGGGAAACAGAGTTGCACATGCCTCTGGCTGATGAGATGTCAATTTTTCATTTTCTTAATGGATTCAGCACCTCAAGAAATAATTAATGAAGCCAAATGGGTGTTGCAGGACGAAGACAGGACAGTGAAACGAGGAGAGAATTGGAAGCAACTGGGTTTTTTTTTATTTCCGCTTCTATTTTTCTCGGGGTAGTTTAGTTGGCTGTGTCTTGCATGCCTGATATTAATAAATAGTAGTACCGTGCTTGTGTAAAATTGTTGCATACGACCGTTCAAAGTAGCAAGCAACTTTGCGTCTATGTCTTGCCTATACAACGCTAAACTCGACTTTGATTTCAGGGAATTGTTTGCTAGAGCATTGCAATCTTGTAGGTCATTGAATAGTTTTTAGGTTATGTAGTAATCCAAAGTAGGTTTTCCCACCTTGAATTACTTGCCGGTCCTCTTCTGTCCTTTTGGAGTTTCTTGGTCTTTGTAGCTAACATATTTTTTTTTTCCTTTTGAGACTCTTAATAAATTACAGAAATCAATTAGCAGCTGAATCCATCTATGTTTCGATTTGTGTACTAGACGACAACCCTTCACCACCCTTTTGTTCACGAGCTCTGAGCGTGCGAAATGAGATCAGCAAGATAATAAACATTTGGCAATCCAGAGGAAAAGGCACATGGAGTTCACTTCAATTGTGTTTTGTTAATTGTGGTTTTGAGTCGTTCCAACCTCTCCTCTTCTTCAGAATCTTTTGGTAAGTCTTGCAGCTTCTGATCGTGGCTCCCAAAACAGTTGGCTGAGACCGTTTACCGGAATTTTTCCGGATATTATTCTCACTTTCCAAGTTGCAGCATTAATGACATAATATATTCCTTATTCTACATAGAGAGTTGCACCATCCATGACATGATTCGCATTCTTTTATGAAGCATGAACAGTAGTAGTTAAGCGACCTCATCATTAAGTTAGCTCTTATGTATGAGCTGGTCTTCTTCCTCCATATTCTTACTTACCCCCTCAGCGAATTTCTTTAATTTGGTGTATGTGGGTCGTTTTTGAGATTCTTATGGACACGTTCACGTAGTTCCACGACGTTTCCTTAAGAAAATACATATAAAAGAGAGATAAAAAGAATGAAAGATGCTTCATGGGTCAGTTTGGGTCGGGAAGAAGCTCTTGTATTATATAAGAGCACATAAAGAGAAGATTTTCTTAGTCAGTGGGGTTTCATTTTCTTGATCATTTGTTGCTCTCACGTTTTATGGTATGAGAAAGGGCATTTGGCTGCAGTACTTTTTATCATTTACCCAGAAAAAGAAAAGGAAAAATAAAGATGCTGAGGATAAAGAAATGAAAGATTTGGAGTCCATATTCTCAAGATGAAGACTCCAACAAGAATAAAGCCATATCTTGAACCTTTAGAAGGATCTTGAACCTTTAGAATGAGTTCAAAATTTCAGCGATGCGTATATCATACATCAGTCATTTGATATCGTCAGGTCATGACTTATAATGTCATAGTATCTTAAAGATTGGAGCTCTTGATGATTTCTATGATGTTCTGCAACATGTAGCTCTGCATTGTGTCTGCTTCATTGATTTTACTAGGAAATGCATTTCAAAATATCATGCTCTTACTTTTTTCCTTTTTCTTTCCCCCTTTGCCTTTTAAGATAGTTGGTGCTCTGCTCTGTTTTTAAGGTACCCTTATGAGCTTCAGTTCCACTGCACTTGTAATACCATGTAATTCTGGTCTCTATTGCTCATAAATTTGAAGGAAGTACCATCTGCTACAGAATCTAGACAAGATGGTGTAATTGACTGGTACAACTTTCAAGAACAGTTCATGTAATCGATTTTGGGTGGAATTTTTTCTGGTGGGACATAAAGATCAAATGGCTCAATCCACTAGATGCTTTCCCACTTTTTTCATTGAGCAGATTCAGTCTCTTTCTGATTCTGGACTATGTACTTGGTCATAATGCGGAACGTGCCCAAAGACCAGAACTTCTGGGGTCCCACAACCTTAAAAGCATGCCTCCCAACCTTCACTCATTTTGTGCCAAAAGAAGAGTAACATTGGGCTCCTCTGTAATCTTCTTTAGTCACAGATTCTCCATCACCTCTCCATTTCTTCATTCAAAGTTGGAACCTTTCTAAACGATGCTTCCTCATTTACATTTCTTGGCCAGTGATCAACATTTAATGAAAAGCTCACCCTTAAGTCCACTTGTTCAACAACCAGCCCTTGCTTTTCAAATCCATATGACTTTTGTTGTTTTGCTTCATTGCAAATTTAATGTCGCTCAGACATATCTAATCATCGTCTGATGCAAATTGTGGAAAAGTCGCCTTCTCGAACAGCTTCAGTTTGGCTGGTCAACGGAGGCCCAAGCTTATTCACTGTCAAGAAAAGGGTAATGTGAGAAATGTGGGATCATTAACCAAATAGGAGTTCATGGAGTTTGCCCTGGTTTAAATGTTCCTCTCCCCAACTGAAACCTTCATGATTTTTTGTGCAAGGGGTTGAGCTGCACCAATTAAAATAGTCACACTATTTTCTCATCCTATTTTTAATTTCTAACTCTTAACAATGTGGATCAAAAGAAAAAGGGTACAAAAGCAGAAGATAAAGAGAAATTTCTGCCTCTCAAACTTTATGGCTTGCTTTTAATCATAAGGTGTGTTGGAAAGTAGGGTCGGTGGGTATGCAGACAATTTATTTTGTGGGGTCAACAGACTTCACTGTAGTCATCCCATTGCCCATCTCATCTTTTTTTTTTTTTTTTTTTTTGGTAACCCGGGAGCCCCCCGCTCGGCCGACAACCGGGGAGGTAAACCCGGGGTGACGCTAGCGCAGGACCCACCACCACGACGTCACGCTTAAGAATCCCTAACGCCAGCGCTGGGAGAAAAACTCCCAAGAAAGAGAAAAACTTCTAGACATCAAAATTATCCAAACAGGCACTCAACAACCACAATCATATCACACCTCTCTGTCTGATTCTCACACAAGAATGATTCCTCTCTTCATCTTGCTGCAAATTGCAGACTCGTAACTTAACTAACACAGGCTCTCAGACGAGCAGAGGAATAATCAACATATTGAAAGAAAAAATTGTCCTCGACCTTTCTCCCGTAATCAATACTAACATACTCAAGGCAAGAAATTAAATATCACCATTAGCATATGATTCATGACGCTGGACTTCAGACCAGGTCGAAACTTCTTTTGTTTTTTTTTTTGGTCGTCTCTTAACTATTATATAAGTTGTTGATATCTCAGATGATCTGGCAGGAAAGAGTAAAGAAAGAGGCTTGATGTTTTCTCATTCCTGTTAAGCCTTCTATTCTATTCTTTAAGTCAAATAGGAAAGATATAAGCAGAGAGAGGGAGAGAGAGAGATTCCTATTAAATACATAGTGGCCCTGTCAGAAACCTGAATTTCTGGCCTTCCTTCTTGCTTATCTTCAGACTCCCATCTATATTTCTGTCTTTTGAAAAATTAAAGAGAGAGCCCAGACAGATCAAAATCGCCTACCTTGTCCAGCCTTCAATCTCTCTCTGTCTCTCTCTGGGTCCAAAACAACAAGTGATTGAGGAAGAACCTATTTTGCAGTTTCCATTTTGTCCTGACCCTGTTTCTCACTTTCGTTTCTCCTGAGATGAGAGATATAGTTTCTTGCTTCAGTGAGAATGCAGTAGGAGTTTCTCCATCTACTTGCTCCAGCTATTCCAACAATGCCTGCATCTCCCCAACTCTGATCCCTTCAGTCAGAAATGCAGTCATTTGTCTATACAAAACCACCATCTCATCACAAAAACACCTCCTCATCACAGTCACTTGGAGCAGAAGTCATATGGGTCAAGGCCTGACCGTAAACATTGGCGATGACCCATCCGCATCATTCAAGCTGCTCAACACCAATTCTCGGTTCCTCCGGAAAAAGAAGGGCACCAAAGTGATTGAATCCGCAAATTCGCACATCGAAGTCTTCTGGGATCTCTCTAATGCCAAGTATGATAGCGGACCAGAACCAGCCGAAGAGTTCTATGTGCTTGTCATGATTGACTCAGAATTAGGCCTTTTCCTCGGCGACATGGCTAAAGAAGCCGTGGCGAAGAAGTTCAAGACCGGTAACGTGGCTGCTAAATTCTCTCTCGTTTCGAGGAGAGAGCACTGTTCTGGCAATACCCTTTACAGCACAAAGGCTCAGTTTAGCGATACTGGGATTGTGCACGACATTTTAATCCGCTGCAGCAGCGAAAACGAAGGGTTTAAGCATCCGGTGTTGAGCGTTTACATCGATAAGAAGATGGTGATGAGAGTGAAGAGGTTGCAGTGGAATTTCAGGGGAAACCAGACGATTTTCACTGATGGTTTGCTGGTGGATTTGATGTGGGATGTGCATGACTGGTTCTTCAATCCGGCGTCGGGTTATGCGGTGTTCATGTTTAGGACAAGGAGTGGATTTGATAGCAGATTGTGGTTGGAGGAGAAGATGGACCAGAAAGATCAAGATAGGATTGAATTCTCCTTGTTGATTTATGCAAGTAAGAGTCCCTGAAAGACTGAATTTTAGCTGAAAACATACACTGGTTTTCATTTGGCTCTTCTCTATACTGATGTCTATAGATTTTTACATCTGGTTTTCTTTGTTTCTTGAAAATATTAGTACTTCGGATTCTTTTTGTCATACAAAGCTGGAAATGACTTGGGTAAGAGGGTTGACATTTTTCAGAGTTGTGGAAAATTAAGTAAATTGCCAGTGAAATGATTCAAAGGTTATCCACATCTCTCTTATCATGCCCTGCAAAATATAGGAATCTGATTGAGCTTGTCTAATAGTGTCAAATGTGAAGTAGTGCGATTGCATCAAAATTCAGAAGCACTAAAAAGGCAAAGCCAAGCGAAAAAATGCCAAAAATCTTTGACTATTCTTGTAAGATCTCAGTCCATATTTACCGAAAAGGCGTGGGCTTTTAGAAAGATTATAGATCTTCACCTCACTTGGTCATTCTCTCAGCTTGACCCTCCAAATTAGAATCTTTAGATGTTATTTGAAGCACTTACTCTTCCTGGGTTGGTTGACTTCTCGTGGAAGGAGACTTTCAGAAGATCATAAACTGCGCAGACTGTATGCAAAATTGAATTTCTTCACTTGGTAGAAGAAGAGATTCAAATTCAAAGTCTTCCCCTTCCATTCAGTTCATACATTCTTCACATCTCTCTACTTCTGTTTACCTATCTTTAGAACCCTCTTCATAATGCTTCGGTTACTTCGCCTGCAGCAGTTCGGGCTCTCGCCCGGACCGTGAATGAGCAGAAGTTGGACTGATCTGGAAACTGGACTCTCGAATGGAAAATTACCTGAGATTAGCACTTTCTTTTGGATTTTAAAGGATTCCTGAATAGCTGAGCTACCGACTAAAATCATGTAACGATTTAACCATACGCACATGTGCACGAATACAAGCACTAAATGGGCATAGGCTGTGTCTTGTTCAAGACTGTCTTAGCAACATCAAATTCGTTTACTTGAATGCCTAAAGTCAACGGATTGTAGAAGCTCCCTTTGCTATTTGTTGCTGGCTATCAAGCATTTGAGCTAGAATATTTCCTCAAGAGCTCTAGGCGTTGGGCTACTGATACATTACTGGGCTCAAGTACCATGTCATATTAAGTGATGCACCTGCAACTCAAACCTGGCGCATTTAACATTGCTCGAAAAGGATATTGAAAAGACATGAGCGGTAGGGCCTTCCGGGTAGGCCAGTAAAATTACCGAGGTCACCATGTAGCCCCAACTTTGTGGAAGTCTTGTCACTTTGAGAGCTGGGGAACCATACGGCAAGGGTAATACCTAAATGATCTTTTGAAGCAGGAACTGGTCAATCACAAGTAGAAAACTCATCAGACTCTAGCCATCATCATCGCCTCGACGGAAAGCGTAATCTAATCGACTAAAATTGATAATCAAGAGTTCAATTGTGAACACTAGTGTGTGACATAACTAAGTTGAGAATTGGTTAAGTGGTTAAGGGTTTGGAAAATTATTGCTAAAAGACTAACGCAGGCCACGGATTCGAGTCCAGTTGCGACCTTTGATTCGTGGCACGTTTGCATTCCTCAGTAACCCCATTCGCAGCGGTGTTTATGGCTTCCCTTTATCTATGTGTGGTATTGAATAGGACACGATGCTCTTCGCTAACTAGCGCTTTGCATTTCGACCAAACCAAGGAAGTGAATGCCTTTGAATTTTTCCTTTTATTCTTATTCGCACGAGTACCAGCAGTTACTACCCATCTTGAGCTTTTGGCATCACCAACGACCAAAAGTCAAGGCACGGGCTTCCCGATTCGATATCCACTCACGTGGCCAATTTTGTTTGAGACTAGAGGGACATGAAAGTTTGGTAGCCAAATATTGTTAGAGATATATTTATAAGATTATGTATATTTCCCTTGATTGATCCTAATTAGTCGTAATTGATATTCCGCTACTTTAGATAGTCATCATATAAAGCCTTTCAATAGGGCTCATGTACTCTTCATTTAATTACATTTCTCCCTTTTTTCATCACAATTATCAACTTGGTATTAAAGTAGGAGATCTCGAGTTCAAATCTTTTTAGGCCATTTATTTGCCTCCCCATTATATATTTCTATGCTCAGTACAAAGCTTGAGGAAGAGTGTTAAAATATTTAAATACTAAATCACGTCTTTATCTAACAACTTAAACTTGGGATAATGATATCATAAGTACTATATTTTTGTATCACGCTCACTTAATGGCTACAGTTTTTTTTTTATTACTTAAGTACTACATCGAAGAAAAATCATTTACTAGAGTGCTTATTTCGACCATTGATCAATGCCAAATTTGATGCCAAAGATAGGACCTCTTTTTCAAATCCCACACTTGGTCTATAGTTGGTCGGCAGTCTTATATATCTCACTATTGTTTTTTGGTCGGCCAGGTGTATTCTTGGACTTTAGAGCTCCTCTTCTTGGCGGGCCTCTATTGGGCCCACTTGGGGAGACCCCATAAACCCATAAATGCTACTGTTCGGAGGAGGGGAGTTTTGAACTCCCCACCCGATGGCCAATGGGGCAAGCCCTCAGTGGTTTATCTCACTATTACTTGACCTAACATTGTCTATGCTCTTCACATTGTTAATCAATACATTGCCGCACCATGTACAACTCATTTTGTTGCAGTCCTTCGAATTCTTTATTACACCACCTGAGCGTTATTTTTTATCCAAATTCAAGCTGATCACTTTTAAATCACTTTGACTTTGAGGGGGATGTCAGACATATATTTAGGAGATGCTATATATTTTTTTTAATTGGTCATGATTGATTGTAATTGATATTTCAGAGAGTTGCGTTGACTTTGGCAAAGGATCAAGGAACGAAGTTTATAAACGGTCTTTGCACAACGAGGGTTTCGAAGTCTTTTCAACTTAACAAGGTAGACTAAAATTGATACGGTAAAAAATAGATTTAAACACTTCAAATTCACACTTTGCTTCGCTGATAATGAAATTCTACATAAGATTCGATAGTCGACATTGATCCACAGCTTCCTGGGTAAACTGTGAATAGGACATAATGCCTAACAAAGGTGGTTGTGGACCTTGTGGTCATGGGTTCGAGTCTAAATATAACGACCTCGCAAAAAGCAACGGTGGTAATTACCCGGTTGCGGTGAGACGAATAGTTAGGGATAAGTACAGCGCAAGTGCCATAACTTTTGTACGGAGGACACTTAAGTGCCATAACTTTTTTTTGGCTCACTTGAGTGCCATAACTTTCAAAAAAATGATCACTTAAGTGCCACTTACGAGCTGGTCGTGAGGGCCCGAAACCGCGGCTTTTCCGGCCGAACGGTGACCTTCCCGATGAGGCGAGCACCACCAGCTTGAAGAGGGGGTGTCGGTGAATCATTACATGGCTTCGGTTCGTCTCGAAATTTCCGTTTTAGCCTCCGTTGACGAAGGTAAAAATGCTTCGTAGTCACGCAATTTATCAAGCCGATTTGTGTGACTACGAAACATTTTTACCTTCGTCAACGGAGGCTAAAACGAAAATTTCGACACGAACAGAGGCCATGGAATGATTCACCGACACCCCCTCTTCAAGCTGGTGGTGCTCGCCTCGCCGGGAAGGTCACCGTTCGATCGGAAAAGCCGCGGTTTTGGGCCCTCACGATTAGCTTGTCAGAGGGGTTGGTTGTGAGGGCCCGAAACCTCGGCTTTTCCAGCCAAACGGTGACCTTCCCGGCGAGGCGAGCACCACCAGATTGAAGAGGGGGTGTCGATGAATCATTCTATGACCTCCGTTCGTCTCGAAATTTCCGTTTTAGACTCCGTTGACGAAGGTAAAAATGCTTCGTAGTCACACAAATCGGCTCGATAAATGTGTAACTACGAAGCATTTTTACCTTCGTCAACGGAGGCTAAAACGGAAATTTCAAGACGAACGGAAGCCATGGAATGATTCACCGACACCTCCTCTTCAAGCTGGTAGTGCTCGCCTCACCGGGAAGGTCATTGTTCGGCCGGAAAAGCCGCGGTTTCGGGCCTTCACGACCAGCTCGTAAGTGGCACTTAAGTGATCATTTTTTTGAAAGTTATTGCACTTAAATGTCCTCCGTACAAAAGTTATGGCACTTGCGTTGTACTTATCCCCGAATAGTTATGACCTGAAGAAATTAATTGGAGCGTTCGAAAAGTCAAAATACCCGGCGCACGCTCGCACTGGAGGGGGAAGATTTGCTACTTCACGAATTCGAGTTGAATTCCAGACTCGACCCTAAATTGGGCCCGACCCAATTGCTCTCACGAGAATTATGATAATGAACTACCTAATCATAGATCAAGACCCGGATTAAGCCTAATGAATCTCAAACCCCAATTTCGAGCACTAGTCCGCTCGAGCCTACAGATGAACATCATGATCTTGATAGCAGCATATATATAATGACGTCATTATCAGAAATGCCACTATATCTGATTTATTATTATTTTTGGCCAAAATTCATTTGCCTTTTTTTGGGTAATTCCTACCCCTAAAAAGCCTCGCTCCTCCTTGACCACCCCTTCGCGTTGCTCCCGTTGCACCATTTCAGCTCGTCCTCTGCATGCCCTCGTTCCGTTCCTCCCTTTTCGCGCCGAGAAAGACACTATATCAACCCCCGCCCCGTTATCTCGTCCTTCCGACCGCTCCTTCCGCCCTTCTCCGACCAAAAGCCGGCGATCATGTCTTGCTACAAGGGAAAATATCACGGTAAATTGCAAAGTCTGCGTTGACATGTCGTGTAATTAGAGTTCTTGATCTAATTCCGTTCGCGCTTCGCAGACGAGCTCATCGCCAATGCCGCCTACATCGGCACTCCGGGCAAGGGGATCCTCGCCGCCGACGAGTCCACCGGCACCATCGGCAAGCGGTTCGCGGCCATCGATGTGGAGAACGTGGAGGCCAACCGCCGCACTTACCGCGAGCTCCTCTTCTGCACCCCCGGAGCCCTCCAGTACCTGAGCGGCACCATCCTCTTCGAGGAGACTCTCTTCCAGAAGACCGCCGACGGGAAGCCCTTCGTCGAAGTCCTCCAGGAGGGCGGCGTGCTCCCCGGCATCAAGGTCGACA